GCCAGATCCCGTCGCTCCCCCCTCCCCCCGGCCCCGGGAAGGTCGGTTACGGGGTCCCGGCGCTGTCCCGATGTCACCGCCCTACGGTACGGAAACACGTTTAAACCCCTAGAACAGGCACCGGCAGCCTAACGGTTACCGAAACTCACGGGACTACCCGGGGAGGAGAGGGGCGCGGGGACTGTCGGTGCTGGCCCCGGGCAAGCAGGGTGTGGGATTACACACAGCTGGTCACAGGCTGCAGGTCCCCTGGGCTTTAACTGTAAGAGCCAAAAAAATTGATTAAATATTCCTGCAATGTTTAGAATTAACTGTCACGAACTACTTGGGGAGAGAGACTGTTGGAAAAGTAGTTGGGTTATCAGCAAGAACACATTGTATGCGAGGCAGGTGAGGATCCAGGACCCAGCTCCCACCATGCCACAATCTGGAATTCTTCCTGTTTAGATCTTCAGCAGAATAAGACTCCTTTGGAAATAAAAAGACCCCAAATCCCTTCGTGCCAAACAGTTTGTGCAGTTTTTAGTGTAATTATTGAAACCCTGCAGATAAAAACCATCTGTGTGGTGTCAGCGTTGGCCTGGACCAACAGCGCATACACAGCACCATGGGGCGTGCACGCACAAGGACACAGTGAAGCCACCGCAAGCAGGCACCCCTGTGCACTTAGGAAGGAGCTGAATCAGCTGGAAAACATTGGAAGATATCCCACCACCACCACCCGCTAAGGAGGGGCAGGAGCAATTGGTGTGGTTCTGCAAAAATGGGTTGCACTGATCCAACAGCTCATTCCTGGGGAGAGGTGGTCCCTCCACCCCACACTCCCAGTTTCCTTTCCACCTGCTGTCAGGTTTCGTGGGGTTGTCTCACCCAGGCAGTAGCTGCCCACCTTGAGCAGAGCAGTGATGGGTGAGGAGAGGATAGACTGAGCCTGGGAAGGAGATCCTGAACTGCACAGTCAGCACAAGCCCTTTGGGGGCAAAGAATTGAATCCTGAAGCGCCTCATAGTGTGTGACTGTGCCCTGGGAGAGGTCCAGCCAGACCAGAGGAACCACTACCCTTTTTCACCTGTGCCTCCTCTGAAAGCTGAGCAGAGGTCACTTGTCCCATGCCGACCTCTCAGGTTTCGTCTGGCGACACTAACTGCAGGACCAGATTTTAATAGCTGTCCATTCTTGTTGCCACGGACCCTGTCCACATCTGTCTCCCAAATGTGCTTAACTATAACCATTGAACTGCCAGACAAGTCCATCTCTCATGAGGCCAAGTGTAGGTACCAAAAGAGAGCACCAGAACAGGCCAAATGTACCAGCCCAGCATAACTCACAGAGCCTCCAACAACTGACATCGCTGGGAATTCCTGCACAGGGAGAGATGCCCTTAACAGCCCTTGGTGGATTTTTCTTCCGTTATTTGTTTAGTCACATTTTAAACCCGAAATTATTAGTAAAAAGGAAATGCATTTTTTACAAGGTCAAAAATCTACAGTGCATTTTATCAAAGCTATTACTCGCATTTGTATCAAATCAAATCCAATCTCATCCGTGTGTCTCCTTGGGGGCAGCTAAGAAACTCTTGGCTTCTTTTCAGCTTGACTATCAGGTGTTAGGAACTCGGGTTTTTTCCTTATTTAAAGCATGGGAATTGTAGTCTTTGGGCTTGGGGCTTAACTTCTTTGTGAACTACATTTCCCAGAACTCTCTTCTTCCGGCGGAGCGGCTGTTTCCCTCCGCGGCAGCGTCAGGGAAGGTAAGACTTGGGGCATTATTCACTTGTCCCTCCATTCACTCCATTACACGTGCTCCGGTCAGGGCCACCCCCCATCAATATTACAACACAAGAGGCTGGGATGACGTGGGGTTCCTTCTGGAGTTCCGGCCTGGAACCATTGGTAGGAACATGTTTACCTCCTACCCAGCACTTGTCTGATCTCTGCCTGTGGAACACCTTGGATGCCAGCCTCGGATCTCAGTAGGTGCGTTGGAAGAGTTTCACTTGTTATAGAGAGCAGTTGTTATTTTTTAATCTGAGCAGTTCCATTTTAAAAGCAGCTTTGCATTTCACAGGAAACACTGTGGTTCTCTCCTGCACTGCCCTGCTTCCTCACTCCACAGCAGCTCTCTAATTCATCTGTTATTTCCCGCTTGTGGGCAGACCCGTGTTTTGTCTCCACTTCATTCCCTTTCAGAACATTTCCTTCCGAGAGATCTTTTGATGATTAGGGACAGGAATGGAGAGTTTTCAACAGTTAAAGCAATTTAAATACTGTCAGACTGCCTCAATAGCCTTTGGAGAGCATCATGACAGAAAGTATTCTCAAAGCAAATTCAAGAGTTTGGGGGAGACTGTCCCTTCTAATTAACTCAGATGGAAAATGAAACCGTTTCAGAGCCTGTCACAACTCTTGCTAAACAACAAAACAAGGCAAAAATAATTGTGATCGAAAAAGTAATTCAGGCTATGGAGGAAGTTGAATCTTCCCTGTAATTAAACTGATGATGACACAAAGCCTTGAGAACAAGAGATTAACTGAGACAAACCTGCTCTTTGCCACTAGCATCAATTTAGTATCATGATACAGCTGAACACCCAAACTTTAAATGCATTTAAATATTGCTCCATTATTGACAGAACTGGGACTTGAGGGGAACTGGGGACTTGAGGCAAAGCCATTTAGACATAGCAGGAACATAAAAACCATCCAGGCACTGAAGCTTCATCAAAAGGTGCACCCTTTTAGACAAGTAAGCTCACTACTTGAATCCCTCCAACTTCCCAGAGCTGCCCCAGACCTCACAGGCACTGCAGGTTTCACTGTAGGCAGCAACTATGAAACTGCCCACGTGGTTTGACAGGTGACAAGCTGCACAGAGTCCTCCTTCAAACCACTGCCTGTGACACCTGAAGGGGATCTGAGGCTGTTGAGGGCTCCCAGTGAAATCCAGTCCCTTAGGTGTCCTCCCAGTAATCTGTGATGAGGAGGGCAGGAGTGGGCATGAATCTGCACCCAGCTGTCCCATATGACCATGGTAGCTTTAAGCACCAGACTATCAGACGCCTACTGCAATAGCTCTTTAGAGATCACCCCCTTTTATCAGTAATTAAACTCCTTCTTCCATCCTCCAGATCTCATACAAGCCCCGCTGCTAAGGGAGATGGTGGGAGGGAGAAATACCAGGCAGTCAATTCTCAGTACTGTTCCTTTCAAAACATTTTGTACTTCGTATGCAAAACCATAGAAAGGCCCAGAAAAATTGTTTTAAAAGAGCGAAAGAGAGAAAGACCAAACAAAATCAAGCTCCAAACCAATCCAATCCTGTCACAACAGGTCTTGCACACAATTCCAGTCTATTTGTCAGCAAAGCCATCCTGCCTGTCCCCAACAGGGCACATCGTTCCTCCCTTAAAGCGGGATATCCCTCCCTTTCCTACCTGCCAGGCACATTTGGGTGATCCTCCTCTCTCAGCAAAGCCCCCAGTTTGTGCTGGAGAAGCAAAGCAGTTCCCTCACCTTCCACTGACTCTGGGGAGGTGGCTCCCACAAAGCAGGAGGTACCAGAGGCATTTAGGCAGTGTCCTAATCATCTGCAGTTCCACTTCAAGGACTTTTCTGCACCAGAAGTAACTCCAGTCAAGGTCTTTGTCCTGACAAAGCAACATTTCAAGGTTGTTTTTCTCTTCCTTCCCATAACACACGCAAAGGACTGAGTTGGAACAGGAGGAATGTTAAAGAAAGCGGAGCAAGGGTCTCTTCTGGGGAAGAACCAGCCAGACAGTGCCTCTGGGGTTGGGTGCTTGGCCTTCCTGCCGTTTCTTCTCTGCCCTGTTGCACATACCTGGGAGAGACTTTGCATGCTCAGGGCTTTCAGGGCTCTTCACAAGTCCTGTTAGGCAGCTGTTCTTCACACCAGGATGCAAGAGTGGGAATGCTGCAAGTCAGGGGCACTGACTTTGCCCTTGTACCTCAAGTAGTCCTCAGTGTTGCCCTCAGTCAAAGGGACATGTGAACACTGTCTTCAGAGGGTGGGCTTTTAGTTATTTAACATTTCCAAAATAATTTGTGGTTTTTTACAAACAAAACAAAAAAAAAAAAAAAAAAAAAACCACACCACAGCATAGTTTTCCAGAAAATCCCATGAAAATGGAATTAAGGACATGCTTTCTTTTACCTGCTATGTGTTCTGTTCTTGACTTTAGGTGAACATGCTCTCTGCCAGGAAGTTGTCTGGAGTCCGCAGAACCATCAGATTCCATAATTTCAGATCCCATTCTGCATCTAGAACTTCTCCAAACTTGGCTTTCGTGCCAACCTGTCTTCCCCCAGATCCTATAGAAGTAGAGAAGCTGCAGCATTTTGTTTCTAAGTCCAAGAGGCTGTTTGTAATAACTGGAGCTGGGATCTCGACTGAATCAGGGATCCCAGATTACCGCTCTGAAGGCATTGGGCTCTACGCCAGGACAGACAGACGGCCCATGCAGCATGCTGAGTTCATCCGGAGTGCCAGTGCCCGGCAGCGGTACTGGGCAAGGAACTTTGTGGGCTGGCCCCAGTTCTCCTCCTACCAGCCAAACACAGCACACTTGGTCCTAAGAGACTGGGAGAAGCTGGGGAAGCTGCACTGGCTGGTGACCCAGAACGTGGATGCCCTTCACACCAAAGCTGGGAGCCAGCGCCTGACAGAGCTGCATGGCTGCACACACAGGTAATCTCTGGTGGTGGATGATGGTTGATCCTCCACTCTCTCGTTCAGGGTGGCTGTGTTAGCTGCTGAGAAAGGAGGCACAATGCCAATGCTATGTTCCTGAACATGACATGCTTAAAGGTAGTGCTGGGCTGGGGTGGAGAAAAAGATCACAAAACTGCTATTCTCAGCACAGTATTTAAGAAACATGACCACTGCTCTGGTTTGTTAGAGCATTATTTGGATCATTTCCCCTGAAGCCTGAATCGGTCAGAAACTCCCCTTTCCTTGACACAACAAATGTCCTCTTAGTGAAGAGGACAAGGGGATCCTGAGGACACAAGGATTATCCAGGGCTAAGCAGCATGATAGTGCTAGAAATGCACAAGATGAGTGGACTGGAGAAGGGCCACCACAGCCTGGCAGTGATCATACAGTTTCCAGATACAAAAGCACAGCCTGAGAGGGCTGGGAGAGAGGATACCAGTAGAGTTCAAAGTGTTTCCTTTAGAGCATTCCTACAGAGCAACAATGGTGGGTAGAAAGACAGCTGCTTGACCTGTCCTATTTGGTAAATAAATGTGGATAATGACAACAGACCTTCCAGTCCTTCTAAGGAAAAAGTTACAGACTCCAGCTCTTCAGCTCACGTGCAACTCTTCATTAAGACTTTCCTCTGAATTTCAGGGTTTTCTGTCTGGCCTGTGGAGGCCAAATCTTGCGCTCTGAACTTCAGGAGCAATTTGAAGCTCTGAATCCTACCTGGAAAGCTGAAGCATTTGGTGTGGCTCCAGATGGAGATGTATTCCTGACAGATGAGCAAGTGTGTAATTTTCAGGTCCCAGCCTGCTCTAAGTGTGGTGGAATCCTGAAGCCGGATGTGACATTCTTTGGAGACACAGTTTGCCCAGAGAAAGTGAATTTTGTGCGCCAGCGCCTGGCGGAATCAGACTCCATGCTGGTGGCAGGATCCTCTATGCAGGTAAGTAGGTTTCCCTCCCACAATGCATTCCTATTTCTGTGCTATTCTGCCTGCAACATTCCTTGATCCCACAATTTAGGACTACTAAGTGCTTGTGGATCAGAACAGCATCTCCAGAGTTGCTTTGTATTTTATGTTTACGCTGGTTGGGATCTGGCTTACCATTGGGCTGTTTGGGCTTCCCTGTCACTCTATTCCCAGTCTGCTTCATGCTGCTAGAAATAACTCCATTCAGACCTCTCTCTGGTGCCTCCTCCGTCAGGACATTGTAGGTTCCCAATTGTCCATAAAGCCAAGATGCCTGATACAATTCAGTCCTGCAGAGATCATCACCTCACATCTTTGTGCTTAGTTTTTTTAGCCTTTGGCAGCATTCTAGCCCTTATGGCACACTGTGTGAAATACCAGATTTTAGGTCCTCTAATTCCAAATTAAATTCTCAATAAGAGAGCAGAAATATCTCTGCTTGCTTCTTAGGATTGTCAGGATTGTCCTTTGTATCACAATGTGGTTTTTCCATTAGCCTCTTATCTATAAGGTAAGATAGTTCAGAAACCCCTGTTGTTTAACCTGTGGAAGCTTTTGGAATAGAGTTTGTATAAGAGGGTTTTCTTTCCAGGAACAAGTTCTACTACATTAAAAAAAATACTCTAACACCTCCCAGAACAAGGTAAAACCAAGGCCACCTGATTGTGATTCTCTTGGCTTCAGGATACTGGAGACGAATTCCTTGAACTTGCACTTCTTAAGCTTATAATCCTTTGTACAGGAATGATTGAAATGCCTTAGGTTCATTCTTGTACTACCTAAGCTGAGCCATGTGAGAACCATCAAAGTAGAAGTGTTTAAGTACCAGTGATAACTAATAAAAACTGCTGCAGAGATTTACTGCAAGACAAGGACATTTCCCATCAATGTACTGTGAAGTTTCAATTTCTATGAAACTGCAAATCCTTCACTGACACAGGTTAAGAGCTTTTCTTTTCTGTGCACTGCTGAATGATTTCGTGCCTGAACTCAGTGCAGTTGCCTAGCACAGCATGTACATACAGCCTCTTTTCCCACTGCCAACAGCAACTGTTTTATTTCCTTACTCCTTTCTGTAGCAATTCTGTTGCCTAAGCTGCTGGCAATTTTGTCTCCTGGTATTCCTGCAGGTATACTCTGGTTACAGGTTTGCTCTTGCTGCCCAGGAGAAGCAGCTGCCAATTGCAGTCCTTAACATTGGTCCTACAAGGTTAGATCACTTTGCATCCTTAAAACTGAATGCCCGCTGTGGAGAGCTGCTGCCTTTGATTGTTGTCTGACCCAACAAGCTGAGCTTCAGGAGCTGTCAGGAGTGAAATGATTCCTACAAGGTGAGTACCTTCACTGGTCAGTCACCTTACAGGGTAAGAAGGTGGCTTCCCATAAAATGCTGAGACTGAGATGTGCTGGTGGGCCATGATACTGTTTCCCATGATCTTAAGCAAAAAGCATCCTACGTGCTAATGTTATTAAAAAATAGGGCGAGAGTCGCCAGAAGACCCAGCAGCGTTGAGTTCCAATCCATTTATCCCTATCAGAAACCTGCAGAGGATCATCTGCAGATTCAGAGAACCTGATCAATACTCTTGCCTTTGCAACTGACAATTCAAAAGCTCTGCCTGGTTGAATTGATCCAACTAATCCTCATCAAAACACTGCTGTTTAAAAGAATCGATTTCACCTATAAAGCAGCTTTTTCCCTCCACTCCTTTAGGACTCATCATCTTAAAAGGGGAAAACCTCAATATAAGAGGCAGCTGAGATCCAGCGTACGGCCCTTGATAACACCAGGAGAGGGCAGCAAGCTCCGCACATGTCAACCTGACCAGTTTTCTCCATTGAAACCATCCGCAATTACAGGAAACAGGATGGTAATGAAAAAAGTACTTTTGTTATTGTAAACAGTGCCTTTTCAGTCACTGGGACAGGATAATCACACTATCGTATCAGAGAACAAACTTCCTTTCTTATAACTGTCCCCAGGGAAGAACAAGGGACAGGGATTTTGACTGGGTAACTTGAGGCTATAGCACAGGCGGGCGATGTGGAAAACAACAGGGTCTGCTGGAGGATCCAGTACCACTAGTGGGCAACTGCAGAGCATGGAAAGAAAAGGAGGCAAAGGAACTGCAGTTGTCATTAAAATGAAATAAAACAAAGGTTCGGAATAGAAGCTGAACAAGAATATTGCTCTTGTAAGATACTATTTAAAAGCACAGACTATAGCTGACATCTTAGGGGAAGGAGGGGAGTCAGCATTTCTCTCCACTGGCAGTTGACAAGCTAAACTGCTTACCTCCTGAACCCTTAAAAACTCACATACTGGGGAGATGCCAGAGGAGTTACTTTAAGCTAATTTGACCAGCACTGCTTTCAGTGTGGCTGTTATGTCTTCCAGAATGCATTTAAGATGTTATTTAATTAATGAAAAGCTAAGTAGTAAATTAAAATTGTTTACAAGATTGATACTATTTGCGTTGTAATTTCCTCTCCCTCCTATGATTTGTTGAAGTACAGTCTCAACAGCCGGTTGAGATTCATTTTTTCCGTTGCAAAATGTAGGATGTAATTACTAACAGCTGATGAATTAAAAGAGAAATACAGTTAAATCTGTACAATAGGTCTCCCTCAGGAGTAATCTCAAGCTATTAATAGATGTAATTTTCCACACTCTTAACAGGAGATCCCTCACTACTGGGTAACCACTTTTTGTTACTCCTTAGGGTGGTAATTTAAACCATATTAAACCATTTATGGGGTAAAAGACAGAATCTTGCTCAGACTTTGTTACCTGACCTTCTGTGTGAATCTACCAATTCCCTCCTGGCTATGAAGGAGAATAATTGTTGGGGTCTTCCAAATGCCCCAGTCCTACTCTCCACATAACATGTCCTGTATTAATATTTTGACAAGAACCATAACAAGCAGTTGAAAGTAAGGATGCCAGAGTCAGCTGCTGAAAGGTCAAGCAGCAAAGCAAGGGCAACTGACCTTGTCATGCAAAGTTCTTTTTTGCTTTGCTGTTGATTCAAATCCATGCCAGGCAGGAGCAAATAAAGCACAGAATCTGAGGGGTACAGATACACCCGGTTTCTGCAGAAGGTAGAGGGAATTAAGATACATAATGCATTTCAAGATTTGGTTATTACGGGTCAGAGGAGAGATGGTTTCGTTTAGAAGCCAAGCAAGGTAAGTTCAGAAGCCCTACCTGCATCCTGCTCTTGTTCAATGGAGATCTCACTTTCCCGTGAGTTGGGTGTCCACTGTTTCGTGGTGAAGAAAGCTCACAGAAGTCACTCCATCTTTAGCATAGTACAGGTGTCTGCTAAACAAAGCTTTTGCAGAACCATTGCTAAGGCATAGCAGAGTCTCCACACACAGCCAGAGCACTTGACAGAGTGTTTATTCATGTAGGTCTTTTCCATGTAAGAAGAGACATTTATGCCTCCTTAGCAGAGGAACTGGGGCCAGGTTTCTCACTGTCTGTGTCATCTTCTGTATCGTCTTGAAACTTGCATGATTTAGATGTGTTAGAAACAGAGGCTGCAGGTTGAGTGCCACTGGAGCCAGAAGATTGACGTGTGGGAGTGTCTGCAGGAGGTCTAAAACGAGAAAACATTTCCAGTGAGGACTTGGCATTGCCAATGTGACAGGTAATTAAACCTCCCTCAGCTATACCTGCCTCCAGTTCAGCAGCTGAGCGGGTAGGAAGGAGTCAGGGTGTCTCTTCAGCATCACTAATGAAAGAGTAACGTTACCCTGACCCTCCACTGACTAGACTATATACTTTTAAGTCACTAGGGCAATGACTTACAGTAAACGAACATTACAGTAAATTTCCTGTGCATGGTTTATGACGATGTGTTAATGAGCATATATACAACAAGTATATGAGGCTGAGATGAAGGAGTGAGGGTTTTTCTGCTAAGCTGATCCAGCACTACTGAAATTTACTTCTTTTAGAGCAGGATCAGAGCACTTCTCCCTTTAGCACATTCTCCAAGACACCACTGAGTTCACTCAGCTGAGAAATGCCACAGAAAGCCTAAAGTTCCAAAAGCCAGATCTGCATCACCCTTAATGCTGACTGACACCTTCCCCTGTCACTCCCTGGAGACTGTGTGGGAAGATGCAATGCAGAGATAACAGCTATCAGAATAAGCTACCTGCATTGCAGGTAGCTAGCAAAAACCTGTCCTGAAAGTTTGTGTTTCTCAGCTTAATGATGTACTTACCAGCCTGGAGAGAGCTATAGGTACCTCCAAGGCTGAGCACTATAGGATGTGAATTAGCCATGCTGTGGGAAAACAAACAACTCAGTAGTTCAGTGTTCAGACTAGTGTTCAGCTTTATTCTCTCAGTCTGTGGTGAATTTGCAAGGGAGAAGAGGTTTTAAGGGGGGAGAAACATTGTTCCTAAAAGACAAAAGACAGTAATCTTTGTGTTACTGGCTGAAACTATGGAAAAATAGTGTTACGGTGCCTGAGCAGTGTTGTCTTCCCCTATCACCAGGAAGGAAATGCAGATCCTTTCTACTTGCCTTGTCTGCTTTAAGCCAGCCTTATCCTCCATGTGATTCAACCCTCTCCTACCTTTTCTGGCTCACTGTTGTTAGACCAGTCCACCAGTATTTTAAATTAGGTCTTGAAGTCATAGTTCTCTCCACCTATCGAGAAAAGTATACATCAGACAACAGCACAAGGACAGGTTTTTACCATTAAGTTAGTTAAATGAACAGCTTATGCTCCTCCCTTTTCCTTACAGCTGTTCCTACTAGGACAAGCTCCTGAGGTTTGGATAAAGGAGTTTAGAATGCCTTATAGTGGACTTTTCCACCATTCCACTGAAAGTGGAGTTGGATTTACGCAAAGCAAATAAAAGCTACTTCCTGTTTGGCAAATCTTGTCTTTCTGGGCAAATTCTGAGAGCAAACTTTGTAATCAACTCCTGCAGCCTGAGAAAGATATTTCACATGCTGTGCTCCAGTGAGGGCAGCATAGCCTGCAGGTGGCCCACAGGACTTGTGCCTGGCAAGTATGGTGTAAGTGCAGCCCACCACATCAAATGGTCAAATTGCTCCTACTTACAAACCTGCTTATTCGTGACTTCTGGAAAAGGACCGAAGACCCTGGGCATCGTGAACTTGGGAGGTTCAGGAACCTTGGGGTGAAGTTGATTAAATCTGTCTTGTAGAGTGTGCTGCTTCCGATGTCGCCCTTTCCCAGTCTTTGCAGCTGTGAGGAGGAAAAATAGTATTTGAAAGCAGTGCGAACTTCCTGGTTTCCTCAGGCTATTCATTCAAAACTCACGGCTTGGGCAGGACAGATGGAGTCTTCCTCTCAACCTGTCCCAGGGCAGCCCCAGCTAAACAGCAACTGAATGCAACAGCCCTGTGAGGGTGTCCAGAGTCAATGGGGAAGGATTGAGGAGGGTCTTAGCCAAAGTCAAAGTTTCTTATCAGCACACTCGGCCATCCTCTATGGTGTCTCAGTGTAGGGTCTTTGAGATCTGAATTAACTTGGCCTTTGCAATTGTGGTTTTAGATTACAGAAAAGATGATAGTGGTGAGAGAGTAAATTTCCAACAGAGGACTTTACCTCTCCAGTCCTACTCGTCTGTCCATTTTCATCCCTGATAGATACTGTGAAAATATCTTTTAGATGCCAGATTCCTCCTGGCTGATGCTTGCTTTCTGTAGGGACGGGAAATTCTGGTACATAGGCTATTAAACAGCTTTGATTCGGTTGGTTGGAGCCTTAAAAAAAGAGATGGATGATGCGTTTGGAATAACAACACAAAGGATTTCCTCCTATCTTACCAGTTTTGTGAGCTGTTCTAACTGCTCTGTCACCTATGCACCCAAGTCCTGATAGCTATAGGAAATCATGCAGGAGATACAGATGGACAATAAGAACTTCGTACCCACTTAGGCTAAAAATAGGCTAAATATAAATATTAATTATAAATAAGAAATTATAAATAAAAATAGGCTAAAATAAGGGGGAGAGCATTTTGTGTTAGAGGGTCTCACGATGTAGAGCTGTGACTTACACACTCCAGGGAAGCAGTTTTGAGTGAATGACCTAAGTGCTGCTTGCCCTTGCTGAGACCCAGAAACATATGCAGTTTCAGCATATGCAAATCAGAAATGGTGCCTTTTTGCTAATGAAAGAGGATTTCTGGGACATTCTGCTATTCCTTTATCAGAAGGCTCTTGCAAATAATAGTTTTTAAAATTATGGAAAGATTTAGACACATGCTGCATCCAGATTTCCAGTGT